AAAAAAAAAAAGAAGGATCTAGCTGGGCAAGGTGGCCCACACCTTTAATCCTAGTACTCGGAAGGCAGAGATAGGCAGAGCTCTGAGTTTGAGGCTAGCCTGGTCTACATAGTGAGTTCCAGGCCAGCTGAGACTGCACGGAGACCCTGTCTCAAAAAGATCAAAAAAAAGAAATAAATAAAATTAAGGAACTAGCATTCATTTGTAGCGGAAAAGGCGACTACTGCATTTTTAAAACAAAATAGGAGCTAGAGAGATGGTGCACTTGCAGTTCTTACAACAGAGGACCAGGGATTCATTCCCAATACCCACATGTCAACTAGCAATCCTCTCAAATTCCTGAAGATCCTTCCCCCCTCTTACGGCCTTGCGCATGGTATACATACATACATGCAGGCAAAGACACTTATACACAAAAAATAAACAGAGGCTGGAGAGATGGCTCAGTGGTTAAGAGCACTTACTGCTCTTCCAGAAGACTGGAGTTCGGTTCCCAGAACCCAGTTGCCAGGGATCTGATGCCCTCTTCTGACCTCCACAGGCACTGCACAACACGGGTGCACCTACCTACATGCAGGCAATATACTTATACACATAAAAAATAAAAATTAAAAATAGATAAATAAAAATAAGGTGGATAGAGGAAGACAGCAGACATTGACCTCTACCCTTCACACACAAGTACTCACATGTGCACACACACATATATACCACCACACACAAATTTTGTTTACATTTACATGTATTATTAATCTCAATAATTCCATTTGGCAGGTATTACCATTATCCCCATTTTACACATAAGAAAACTGAGGCTTACATAGATTAACTGACATTTCTAATTACCTAAATTGTGAGAAATTTATCCCAACAATTTGACTCCAGAGCAGATATCAAGAAGACTCACAGATAAATCACAACCACCACTTTCACAGGGCTTCCACTCAATCAGACAATATACTTGCATGTGGTTACAATTATTAATTTTTCATTTTGAGAGAAAATACAATTACACTGAAACATAAACTATGAGCAGCATTAAACATCACCATGGGGGACTGAGGATGCAGCTCAGATGGTAGAGTGCTTGCCTAGCATGCATGAACCCTGGGGTCGATCATAGTACACATAAACCAGGTGTGGAGGCACAAGCCTGTAATCTCAGCAGTCAGTGGAGGTAGGAGGATCAGAAGTTCAAGGTCATCATCCACTACTTGATAGATACATGTCATGCAGGGCCCACGAGATCCTGCCTCGATGGGGCTGGGAAATGTTGCTCAGTGGCAGAGGGGTTGATTAGCATTCTTGAGGCCCCAGATTCAATCCTTAGTCCCAATACCAGTACACACACACACACACACCACTATAGAAAGGAATAAGTAACTACTAAAAATGTTTTAAATTTTTTTTGGTCTTTTTGACACAGGGTCTCCCTGTAGCCCTAGCTGTGTCCTGGAACTCACTATGTAGACTAGGCTGGCCTTGAACTCACAGAGATCCGCCTGCCTCTGCCTCCTGAGTGCTGGGATTAAAGGCGTACGCCACCACACCCGGCAAGTATTTTATTATTTTTATCTTATATGTATGAGTGTATTGCCTGCATGTGTGTAAGTGCATCCATGTTGTGCAATGCCCATGGAGGTCAGAAGAAGGTGTTGGATACCCTGGAACTGGATTTATAAACAGTTGTTAGCTGCCACATGGGTGCTGGGAATCCCACCCAGTCCTCTGCAAGAGCTGTCAGTGCTCTTAACCTCTGAGTCATCTCTCCATCCCCCCTAAAAAAACTTTTAATCCCTGGCTAAAGCAACTGCAAACAACAAACACCAGGTAGTCTCAGGGAAGCATCGTTGTTGCCACAAGGCAGAGCTAGAATGCTAGCTGGTATGTAACAGACTTTTATTCCTATGGCCAAAGCAAGGTGGAAAATACATGTCAGTCATTTAAAAAGTATTGGGGGTGAGGGCTGGAGGAATGGCTCAGCAGGTAAGAGTACTGGCTGCTCTTACAGAGGACCAGAGTTCAGTTCCCAGCACCCACATGGCAGCTATCAACTGGCTATAACTCCAGTTCTAGGGGATCTGATACCCTCTCCTGGCTTTCATGGGCACTGTACAACACGTGTACATCTACATACATACATGCAGGCAAAACACTCATACACATTAAATTAAATTAAATTAAATTAAATTAAATTAAATTAAAATTAAATAAAGTAATCCCAGGGGCTTGGGATATGTGTCAGTAAGAAAAGAGTCCAAGTTCCAATCCCAAAACCCACAGAAAAGCAAGGAGCAACAGTGCACTTCTGCAGCCCCAGCACATTTCTTGGGGGGGAGGGTGGGGGGAGGGACAGGAGCCCTACATAACAACACAGATGAATCCTTGGAGCTCACCAGCTACCAGGTCTAACCAATCAGTGAGCTCCAGGTTCTGTGAGAAACTGTCAGATACCTGATACAATCTGATGTCAATCTCTAGCCTCTACATGCCGACACACCCACACTTCACAAGTACACATGCATGCACAAGCACACGAGCACATACACATGTGAACATACTCATACACGCGCACACACACATACACACAGTAATTCCAGCACTCAGGAGGCAGAGGCAAGAAAAGCAAAGCTTGAAGATAACCTGGTCCATGTAGCAAGTTCCAGGACAACTAGGGCCACAAAGCAAGAGTGTATTGCAAAAAAAAAAAAAAAAGGCAGGGGTCAGGGTAGGTCAGCCAGACGGCTCAGGGCGTAAAAGCTCTTGCCACTCAAGCCTGACAACCTGAGTCTGACCTGAATTCAATCCCTGGAACCTATGGGGGAAGGAGACAAGCTATTTCCAAAAGTTGCCTCCGACCTCCTCATGCTACACTCGTGTGCACACTTGCACCCTCTCCCTCGCCCCCTCATTAATAATAAAATTTTTTTTTTTTTTTGGTCTTTTTGAGACAGGGTCTCCCTGTAGCCCCAGCTGTCCTGGAACTCACTATGTGGACCAGGCTGGCCTTGAACTCACAGAGATTCGCCTGCCTCTGCCTCCCTAGTGCTGGGATTAAAAGCATGTGCCACCACGCCCAGCCTAATAATAAAAAAAATTTTTTTTAAACAAAAGGGCCAAGTATGGGGGCTCGTGCCTGCAATCCCAGCACTGGGGACGCTGAGTAGGAAGAGCACCATGAGTTTGAAGACAGCTGGGCCCATGTGGTGAATTCTACGCCAGCCTGGGCTACAGAACATCTCAAAAGAAAAGCAAAAATAGTCATTCCCTCTCAGCATCTTCCCTCCTCACTTCCAAATTCCATGATGATCCCCCACACTACCTCCCAAGCCCTCCTTCCCAGACTTATTTTCTCCCCATACTTACCACTTTCTGAGGCTACATTTTACAGGTCTATGGCTTATCTTTCTCTATAAAAAGCAAGCTGTCTGAAGACAGGATTTTTCCTCTATGGCTCACTGCCGTATCCCCAGAACCTCAACAGCAGAGCAGACGACGGATAGCAGTGGCCGAACCATGGCTGAGTACTTTCCCCTAGGTACTTTCTCCGGTCCAATCCAAACAAATTAAAGCTGACTTTTTTTTTTTTTCTTTCTTAAGAGACGGGCTTGAGCTGGGCATGGCAAGTCTGTAGACCCAGGGCAAGTCTGTAGTCCCGGCACTTGGGAGGCAGAGGCAGGTGGATCTCTGTGAGTTCAAGGCCAGTCTGTTCTACATAGTGAGTTCTAGGCCAGCTGGGGCTACTAGGAAACCCTGTTTCAAAAGACAAAAAAAAAAGAAATGAGCTTGAACCAGGTGTGTTGATGCACGCCTTTAGTCCCAGCACTCGGGAGGCAGAGACAGGCAGATCTCTGTGAGTTCAAGTTCAGTCTGGTCTACACAGCAAGTTCCAGGCCAGCCAGGGCTACAGGGAGGCCCTGTCTCAAAAAGACCAAAAAATAAAAGAGAGGAGGGCACGGTGGTACATGTCTGCAATCCCAGTGGAGGCAGAAGGATCAGGAGTTCAAGGCCAACAGGTTACATTAAGAGACTATCTCAAAGAAAAAGAGAAAGGGTAAAGTTCTACTATAATTGCTAAATTACTAGACGTCAATAAGCTTTGGTACCAGAACAGCAACACTTCCAAGTAAATACAGTTGGGTCTGGTGGTTCACTCCTGTGATCCTAGCATTTGGGAGGCTAAAGCAGGAGGATCACAAGTTCCTGACAGACTGTATGGCAAAGTGAGTTGCAGGCCAGCCTGGGCTACAGAGAGAGACCCTGTCTTAAAAATAATAACATTTCATTGGGGGCTGGAGAGATGGCTCAGCGGTTAAGAGCACTGGTTGTTCTTGCAGAAGACCCAGGTTTGAATCCCAGCACACACATGGCAGCTGGTAACTCCAGTTCCAGGGGATCTGACAGCCTCTTCTGTCTTCCGTGGGCATTGCATGACACAGGTGCACTTACCTACATGCAGGTAATAAACACATACACATAAAATATAAAATAATAAAATAAAATAAAATAAAAAATTGGGGCTGGCGAGATGGCTCAGCAGTTAAGAACATTGGCTGGCCTTGCAGAAGACCTGAGTTCGAATCCCAGCACCCACATGGCAGCTAACAACTGTTCATAGCCCCAGTTCCAGGGAATCTGACAGCCTCTTCTGTTCTCCAAGGACATTGCACGACACAGGTGCACTTTCCTACATGTAGACAATACACACATACACATAAAAATAATATTTTTAAAATAAATAAATAGAAATATAAAAATAAATAAAATTATGTTTCAGGCATGGGCATGGTGGTGCATGCCTTTAATCTTGCAACTAGGGAGGCAGAGGCAGGCAGACCTCTGGGAGATAAAAGGCCTGCCTAGTCTACATAGGGAGTTCTAGGCCAACTGGGGCTATAGGGAGATTCAGTCTCAGCAAAGAGAGGGAGGGAGGGAGGAAGAGTTAATATTACGGAGAAAATAATATGTAACAAGTACTGTAGTACATACCAGAGATAAGAAAGGACAGTATGGCTCAATCCCAGACCTTAGTTCTGAAGCCAAGGCAAGAGAATCAGGAGTTCAAGGTCATCCTTGGCTACATAGGATTCTCTCTTTAAAAAAAAAGAAAAAACAGGCTGGAGAGATGGCTCAGTGGTTAAGACCAGAGGACTGGGTTGAGTTCCCAGAAGTACCCACATTAACAGCTTACAACTAACCATCTTTAAAAAAAAAAAAAAAATTCGATATTTTACTATTTTTATTTTATGTGTATTAGTGTATCACCTGAATGTATGTGAGTGCACCCGTGCAGAGCAATGCCCTGAAAGTCAGAAGAGGGCTTCGGATTCCCCTGGAACTGGAGTCAAGGATCGGTTCATAGGCGCCATGTGGGTGCTGGGAATCAAACCTGGGTCCTCTGCAAGAGCAGTCAGCGCTCTTAATGGCTGAGCCATCTCTCCAGCCCCACAACTAACCATCTTTAACTCCAGTTCCAGGGACTCTGACACCCCCCTCTAGTCTCTCAGGGTTATCAGGCATTCACGTGGTATTCATATATGCAAGCAGGCAAAACACTCATACACATAAAAATAAATCTGAAAGGGAGAGAGGGAAGAAAATGGGAAGGGGAAAGAGGGGGAGGAGAAGAAGGGGAAGAAGGGGAAGAGAGGGGAAGGGAGGGGAAGAAGGGGAAGGGAGGGGAAGTAGGGGAGGAGAGGGGAGGGAGGCAGGCTGGAGAGGTGACTCAGGGGTTATGAGCACTTGCTGCTCTTGGAGAGGATGAGGATTAAACTCCCAACACCTAGATGGTGCCTCACTGCTGCCTGTAACTTCAGTTCCAGGGGATCCAATATCCTTTCCTGGCTTCTGTGAGCAGTGCACACATGTCCTGCTCTTGCAAACATACAAGCAAAACACTCATACACATAAAATTAAATTAAAATAAAATAAAATTAAATTAAATTAAAATAAAATAAAATAAATAAAAAATATATTGAGCCAGCGTGGTGGCATATGCCTTTAATCCCAGCCCTCGAAAGGCAGAGTCAAGTGGATCTCTGCAAGATCGAGGCCACCCTGGTTCCCATTGTGACTTCCAAGCGGGCTGGGACTAGTGAAAAACAATCAACAAAAAAAGCAAATAAATAAATAAATATTGGGGCTGGAGAGATGGCCAGTTAAGAGCACTGGCTGATCTTGCAGAGGACTTGGGTTCAGTTCCCAGCACCCACATGGCAGCTAAGAACTGTCCATAACTCCAGTTCCAGGGGATCTAATGCCTCTTCTGACTTCCACAGGCTTTGCATGACACAGGTGCACTTTCATACATGTAGGCAACACACTCATACACATAAAATAAAAATAAATAAAATATTAAATAAATAACTCAAAAACAAATACCAGAGATAAAAGATAAAAAACTTTTTGTTTTTGTTGCTTGGTCGTCCTGGGGGTTGAACCCAGGGCCTTGTGCATGCTGGGTAATCTACCACTGAGCCACATTCCCAGCCTGATTCCACGCTTAATTAGCCACAGGTCACATTCACACCCCATATCAATGTCCACTTAAGAAGACTCCATCTTTCACCTTGATTTAACTCTGAGAAGGATGTTTCTGTTTTTTGTTTTTGCTTTGAGACAGGGTCTCACTACATAGCCCTAGCTAGCCTTGTAACTTGATATGCAGACCAAAGCGGCTTCAAAGTCCGGGCAATCCTTGTTCCCAGCCTACCCAGTGCTGGGACCACAGGCAACGATGTCCAGCTTTCTCCTACTTTATATTTTGTGAGCTGCTTTTTTATATGTTAAATCCTTTCATCTTCCTCAAACCTCTTGTTTTAATATTAACTTCTTGGTGTCACAGATGTGAAAATCGGTGTCTAGAAAGAATTCAATTATAATCAGGCTAATTGCCTTGCAAAGAATTCAGTCTGAGGGCCAATGTTATTGTTCCACTTGTCCATCTATTCACCAAATAGATGCTAAACGCCCCTGTTTACAAGGCGCTGGCGATGCAATAGTAAACAAAGTTCACATCAAGCTTACTCCGGTCCTACCTGACACCGACGTGCCATCTGCTGTTAAGACCCCGCGCGTCATCTTTAAGATCGGGATCACAACGCCCACCTGTCATGACGTGCAGTGCCCAGCACCGGTGAATCGCAGAAATAGCCACGATCCATCCCAGAGGCGTGAGAGAAGGCAAAGCAGGGTCCACGGCCTCAGCTCCCCGGGAAGGCCGGGCCTCCACCGGTCCTGGGCTCCAGGGTCCGAGGCGCCCCGCTGGCCGCGCTCCGGGCCGCCCTCCCCGGCCCCAACAGCCGCCAGCGGGGCCCGAAGACTCCTGCAGCCCAGCGGCCGCCGCGCAAGCACATCCCGGAGGCTCCGCGCCGCCCCGAAGGCCGGACGGTGGCCAACGGTCCCGGCTGCGGCCCACGGCCTCCGCCTCCGGGGAGGGCGGCCAGAACGCCGGCTGTCCGCGGCCACCGCTCGTCCCTCGGGGCTCACCTCGCTGTAGAAGGTCATAAAAGCCTCCTCCGTGCTGCCTCCGCCGCCCGAACCACCGCATTCAGCCGAAGCCGCCATTTTCCCGGCCAGCCACCACGTGACCTTGCTGCGCAGGCGCAGCCTCGCGGGAACGGTCCTAGCCCGCCTCCGCGGCCCCGCCTCCCACGCCCAGCCCACTCTTAAAGGGCCCGAGATTTTTTTTAAATTTAAGATGAAAGGTCAGAAAAACAGCTCAGCGGGTGAAGGCGCTTCAGGCCAAAACTGACTGAGTTCGATCACTGGGACGCACATGGTGGAAGGAGAGAACCGACGCCCTCAAGTTTTTCCCTGACCACCATGCGGGCGCGTGGGTACACACACACACACACACACACACACACACACACACACACTAAATGAATGTAATTAGAAATTTAAAAGAAGGGGTTGGAGAGATAGGTCAGTGGTTAAGAGCACTGGCTGCTCTTGCAGAGGACCTGAATTAGATTCCCCACGAGGCAGCTAACCGGCTGTAACTAACTCCAGTTCCTGGGGATCTGATGCCCTCTTCTGACCTCCTTGGGCATTGCATGACAGGGATGCATTTACACATATGTAGGCAATATACTCATACATGTAAAATAAAAATAATAGGCCAGGCATGGTGGCGCACGCCTTTAATCCCAGCACTTGGGAGGCAGAGGCAGGCGGATCTCTGTGAGTTCAAGGCCAGCCTGGTCTACACAGTGAGTTCCAGGCCAGCTGGAGCTACAGGGAAACCCTGTCTCAAAAAGACCAAAAAATAAATAAATAAAAATGTAATTAAAAATTAAGAAAATAAGCTCATGTGTTTAATCCCAATACTCTGGAAGCAAAGGCAGATAGAACTCTGAGTTTGAGGCCAGCCTGATATACATAGTGAGTTCCAGGCCAGCCAGTAGTATATAGTGAGACCTGACTCAAAATAAAAATAAATAAATAAATAAATAAATAAAATACACATAACATATATTAGCTATTTCAGGGATTTTTGGTATGTGTAAACCACTACCTCTAGCTGGTTCCAAAATAGTCACTTCTAAAGGAGACTTAGGCTGGGCATTGGAATGCACATGTGTAATTACTACACTTCAAAGATGGAGACAGGAGGATCAAAAATCCAAGCTCAGACTGGGTTCTGTGGCACACACCTCTATTCCCAGGCAGAGGTAGGCAGATCTCTGTGAGATCCAGGCCAGCTTGGTCTCCATACTGTGTCCCGGTCAACTCGGGCTAGGGGAGACCCTGTCTCAAAAATACCAGAAAAAATATAATAAAAAGATTTCATGCTTGGGAGTTTGAGACCATCCTGTACTACTGGGGCTACATGAGACCTTGTCTAGGAAGGAAAGGACAAACGAGGAAGAAGGGAGAGAAAAAGAGGAAGGAATACTATGAACATGAATGGACAGGTATTTGTGTTTGGGCGTAGTTTTTAAGTTTTTTATTACATTTATTTATTGTGGGTGGGTAAGTGGTAAGCTTGGTGCCGCAGTGCATTTTCAGAGGCCAGAAGACAACTTGCAGGAGATGGTTCTCTCCTTCCACCATGTGGGGCTGGTGATCACACTCAAGTTGTCAGGCTTGGTAACAAGTGCCAGTCCATGTGTATGGTGTGTGTGCATTTTTTTTTTTATGAGTGCTTTGTCTGCATGTATGTAAGTATACCCATGTTGTGCAATGCCCATGGAGGCCAGAAGGTGTCAGATCCACTGGAACTGCAGTTATGGGTGGTTGCTATTCACCATATGGGTGCTGGGAACTGAACCCCAGTCCTCTGCAAGAGTGAGTTTAGCCACTGAGCCAGCTCTCCAGTCCAGTATGTTTGGATTTTTTTTCTAAGACAAAGTCTTGGAGGCTGGAGAGATGGCTCAGCAGTTAAGAACACTGGTTGTGGGGGCTGGAGAGATGGCTCAGCAGTCAAGAACACTGACTGTTCTTGCAGAAGACCCAGGTTCAAATCCCAGCACCTACATGGCAGCTAACAACTGTCCATAACTCCAGTTCCAGGGGATCCAATGGCCTCTTCTGTCCACTGCGGGCATTGCACAACAGGGGTGCACATACCTATATGCAGACAATACACTCATACACATAAAGTGAACATAATAAATAAAATATAAAAAAACACTGGTTCTTTCAGAAGACCCGGGTTCGAATCCCAGCACCCACATGGCAGCTAACAACTGTCCATAACTCTGGTCCCAGGGGATCTGACAGACAGCCTCTTCTGACTTCTGCGGGCATTTCATGACACAGGTACACTTACCTACATGCAGGCAATACACACATACACATAAAATAAAATAAAATAAAATGGAAAAGAAAAAAGACTAGAATCTCCCCTCCTAAGGCCTTTAAAAAAAGAAAGAAAAAGAAAGACAAAGTCTTATCTAACCCCAGTTGGCCTAAATTTGTTACAAAGCAGAGGATGACCTTGTGATTCACATCTACCTCCCAAGTGCTGCCATTACATGTGTGTAGGTTCAGTGCCTGTTTTCAATTGGTGGAATATATATACCCTTAAGTGGAGTTGTTGATTTATGTATTTGGTTTTTTGAACTTCCACAAAAATCAGCTGCTCTGCACAGCAGCTGATTCATTTTACGTTTCTTTTTTTCTTTTTTCTATTTTTTTTTTCTTTTTGGTCTTTTTGAGACAGGGTCTCCCTGTAGCTCCAGCTGTCCTGGAACTCACTATGTAGACCAGGTTGGCCTCGAACTGACAGAGTTCTGCCTGCCTCTGCCTCCCGAGTGCTGGGATTAAAGGCATTGCACCACCACACCCGGCTTTTTTTTTTTAATGTGTATGTGTGTACTGTCGTGCAATGCCCACAGAAGACAGAAGAGGCTGTTGGATCCCCTGGAACTGGAGTTAACAGTTGTTAGCTGCCATGTGGGTGCTGGGATTCAAACCCGGGTCTTCTGCAAGAACAGTCAGTGTTCTTAGCCACTGAGCCATCTCTCCAGCCCCTCATTTTACATTTCTACCAGCAATGTAAGAGGGTTTTGATTCCTACACATCCCCACCAATAGTACTTCCTTTTTTACTGTAACTTTTGTTGTTGTTGTTGTTTTTTGGGGGTGTTGTGTGTGTGTGTGTGTGTGTGTGTGTTTGTGTGTGTGTGTGTGTGTGTGTGTTTTGAGACAGGGTCTCCCTGTAGCCGCAGCTGGCCTGGAACTCACTATATAGACCAGGCTGGCCTCAAACTCACAAAGATCTGCCTGCCTCTGCCTCCCAAGTGCTGGGATTAAAGGTGTGCTCCACCACACCTGGCTCTTACTATAATTTTTATTTAGCAACCTAGGTTCTGACTCAGGGTTCTGTTCCCAGCATCCACATGATGACTAACAACCACGTGTAACTGCAGTTCTAGAGTTTTCAACACCCTCTTTTGGCCTCTGCAAGTACTGTACATAGGTGGTGCATGTACATACATGCAGACAAAATGCTGATATACATAAAAAATATATCTAAATAAAGCTGGGCCTAGTGGTGCACGCCTTTAATCCCAGTATTCAGGAGAGGTGAATCTCTGTTAATTCAAGGCCAACTTGCAGAGTATGAGACCCACCTGGTCTACAAAGCAAGTTCCAGACCAGTCAGGGCTACATATTGAGATCCCCCCCAAAATTTTTGTTTGTTTTTTAACACAAGGTCTCATGTAACTGGCTTCAGATTCACTGTATACTTGTTGTTGACCTTGAACCCTGATCTTCCTGCTTCCACCTCCCAGCTATTGAGATTACAGTCCCATGCCATTACACCTAGGTAAGGGCTGGTATTTTTCCAACTAAAAGATAATCAACAATATAAACCAAATGAGGTAGTTTGATTCCCAGCACCAGCTAACAATCATCTGTAACTCCAGTTCCAGAGGAATCCAACCCCCCATCTTCTGACCTCTGTCGGCATTGCAGGACATGGGTACAACAACAAAAATTGTTTTATTTCACAGAAAACACTCATACACATAAAATTAAAATAATATTTTTGGGGGGTTGGAGAGATAGCTCAGTGGTTAAAAGCACTGGCTGCTCTTGCAGAGGACCCTGATTCCAGTCCCAGCATCTACATGGCAGCTAACAACCATCCAGTAATCCAGTTCCAGGTGAATCTGACACCCTCTTCTGATCTCCACCCACGTTGCATGACACAGGTGCACTTAAATACATGCAGACAATACACTCATACACATAAAGTAAACATAATAAATTTTTTAAATTAAAAAACAAACTAATGGGGCTGTGGAAGATGACTCAGAGGTTAAGATCATGGGCTGTTCTTGCAGAAGACTCGGGTTCAATTTCAAGCACCCACATGGCAGTTAACAATAGTCCATAACTCCAGTTCCAGGGAATCTGACACTTTCTGTCTTCCGCAAGGATTGCACAACACAGGTGCACTTACATACATGCAGGCAATACACACATACACATAAAATTAAAAATAATAAAATTATGGGGCTGGAGAGATGGCTCAGCGGTTAAGAACACTGGCTGTTCTTGCAGAAGACCCAGGTTCAAATCCCAGCACCCACATGGCAGCTAACTCCAGTTTCAGGGGATCCTACAGCCTCTTCTGTCCTCCGTGGGCATTGCAGGACACGGGTGCACTTACCTACATGCAGACAATACAAATACACGCATACACATAAAATAAAAATAAAATATTTTTTAAATAAAAATAATTTTTAAGAACAAGCAACAACAAAAATTGTTCTATTTCACAGAAAACAAAAAAAGGCATAGTTATACTAAGGAATAATGTAGATAATCTGGCCCAATCTTCTCATCTAAAGTTTTTTTTTTCTTGTTTTTTTTTTTTTTTTTTTTTTTTTTTTGTCTTTTTGAGACAGTGTCTCCCTGTAGCCCCAGCTTTCTTGGAACTCACTATGTAGGCCAGGCTGGCCTTGAACTCACAGAGATCCACCTGCCTCTGCCTCCCGAGTGCTGGGATTGAAGGCATGTGCCACCACACCTGGCTCATCTAAAGTTTTTAAAAAGACTACAGAGAGAAAATAAGCAAGACCTTAACTTCATGAAAGTAAAGCCTACTGTTGTCTTGTTTACATGTATTAGGTAGATGGAAAGAAGTCAAGGCAAAGTCTGCCTTAGGCTCCTATTGATGAATTAATGATGTTTGTTCCCTGTTTTAAAAAGGGTTTTGCTGTATAGCCCTGAATGGCCCAGGATTCTCTATGTAGACCAGGCTGGATCCAACTTGCCTGATGCGGACACTGGGATTACAGCTTCGTACCATCAGTCGGGTTTGATGTTATTTTCCATTTCATTGCCCCACGACGTCACCAAAAGTTAACAGGTCCATTCAACAGCGTATTAATACAATGCACAAGTACTAATTCACTATCTAAGGCTCTGAAGCGTCACAAGGTGAATTGTGCAAAGAAAGAAAACGGGGAGCTGGTAAGAATTGCTGGTGACACAGCCAATTTTTGAAAGAGATGCTTCTTAGCTCTGGAAATTGTTATTGAATATGTCAATGCTGTTGTAATTAAAAAAAAAAGGAATTGCTGGTGACAGGATGACTAAGAAGGTCAGGGAAGGTTTCTCAGAGAAAGTGAAATTTAAGCTGAGAGAGGAAACGGAGGTGTCAATGCAACAGAACACTGCCACTTCCTAAGGGATGAGCATGATGAACGTCGGTATCCAGGATGTCAGCATCCTAGGCATAGCCCCCCCCCCAAACCTTATATTCTCCAACTTATTGATGTCATCTTTTGAGCTTTTAATAAAATCGACTTCAGCCGGGCGTGGTGGCGCATGCCTTTAATCCCAGCACTCGGAAGGCAGAGGCAGGCAGAACTCTGTCAGTTCGAGGCCAACCAGGTCTACATAGTGAGTTCCAGGCCACCTGGAGCTACAGGGAGACCCTGTCTCAAAAATTAAAATAAAATAAAATAAAATAAAACCGACTTCAGGACTGAAATTGCGCGGTGAGGGAGGACGCCATGCTGCATTCGAATGAGACCAAAGGGTGGCGTTTCACCTTCTGACATCTCACCCTTCACACTCCACGATCAGCCTGCTCCAGTCGGGGGCACCTGAGCCCTAGAGAACGGTTGGATGGGCGGGGGCCGCCTCCCTCTCCGCATTCGCTGCGCACTGCCAGAAGCCCCGCCTCCCCCCTCTGCTGATTCGCTGTCCCCATGCCCGTCTCGCCCTCCGCCAGACCGACTGGCTGCTCAGCCGGCCACGCGGGGCGCGCGCAGGAAAGCTAGCGTCCCGCCCAGGAGCCCAGGGGTTCGGCCCGGGAGACAATGGCTGGCTCCGTGTCGGTGGTTCGGGCGCGGCTGGGCGTCTGGGGAGTGCGAGTCCTGCAGAGCCGGGGTTTCGGCTCCGACCAGGTACGTTGCGGCACGATGCTGGGTTCCAACCCTGGGCGAGGGTCCCCCCCTCCCTCTGCGCCTTTACCGATGTCTGCGTCTCTCTCTGCAGTCGGAGAGTATGAACTCCGGCGCCGGCTCCATCCGAGAAGCCGGTGGGGCCTTCGGCAAGAGAGAGAAGGCGGAGGAGGATCGGTACTTCCGGTGAGGCCACCAGGTCCAGGCCAGCCCTTGATCTCGCCCCCAGTCCTTACGCCTCCCATTGTACCTCGCATCCTCCCTCAGCTGGTCCCCTGGGGCGTCCATCCTCCCGCAAAACTCCCCAGACAGTGAGGCCATTTCGTCTCGACATTTGAGGTCCCGAGGGCTGTCATTTCCATGATCCCATACTACTGCCCTCCCCAAACCCAAGGCTTTTCCACCGGATCTGTAGAACCCTCAGCCCCAGGCTCACCTAGTTTGCCATCTTCCATCTTATTTTATCATCCTGTTTTCCATTTCCCTCGTCTTTGGTAATCCCCTCACGCCCCAGGTTCTTAGAAATGTGTCTAGATCCAACCTGCCAATACATTGCAGACCCCCTGAGCAGTCACCCCCACTCTAATTACCTATCACTCTAATTTTTTTTTCCTCCTCCCTCCCCTCCACGCATTCCTTTTGTAAGACTGCGTCCATTTCCTGAGACTTCAGACCCTGTCAGCCATTTCTAGATTCCTCCATATGTCTCCAGCTCCAGAGTGAAAGGGTCATACATAGCCTCTGGTAACCTTACCTGCTCGAAGTTGGACTCCACCCCCTCCTGGAGACTTTTGCCCTAATCAGCCCAGCTCAGACCCTGGGTTGTGCATTTCTCACTCAAGGTTAGGAAGAAGGGAGTGGACTAGGTCTATCTATAACCCTTCCCTGCTCCGAGTTATCATTAACTGACTGCTCTGCACACTGGAGAGCAGCCAGGAACTAATCTGCTTGTCCTTTGGTCTCTGCCTTAAGGATTGGCCCCAGACCTCAGGGGGTGTTTCTCACTAGTGGACTACAAACTTAACATGCAGAGGCCCTGGGTTCAAGCCTGAATAACAAAACAAGTACCAGGATGATACCTGCCATACCAGAGTGCCAGGCATGGCCATTAGAAACCATCTGATTGGACCTGCTAAGTTTTTGTTGTTGTTGATATGTTTGGTGTTTATTTGTTGTTTTGTTTTGTTTTTTTGAGATAGGGTCTTGCTCTGTAGCCCAGGCTGATGACCAATTTGAGGTGATTCTCCTGCCTCAGCCTCTCCAGTATTAGGATTATAGGCTTGTGCCACCACTCCTGGCTTAGGACCTCTGTCCTTTGCCTTAGGTTCTTGTTTTCTTTTCTTGGTTTTGGTTTTTGAAATAAAGTTTTACTCTGTAGTCCAAGTTGTCCTGGAACTCAAACTGGCCTCCCAACTTTTGCACTCTCTCCTGCTTCTATCTTCTGAATGCTTGGGTTACAGTAGTGAGCCACTAACCTGGATTGCTTCAGGTCTTCTGGTTATGATTAAAGATTTCTTTGATAGTTGGTTAGATGGCACTGCAAGTAAAGGTGCCTGTCACCAAAACTGAGGACCTAAGTTTGATCCCCAGGACCCACATAGTGGAAGGCGAGAACTGACACGTTGCCTTCTGACCTCCACACACATACACAACACAATAAATGAATGTAAAAATAAAAATTGCCCCCCCCAGGGGTGGGGCTGGGAAGATGACTCAGCAGTTAAGAGCACTGGCTGTTCTTGCAGAGGACCCGGGTTTACTTCCCAGCACCCACATGATGGCTAACAATTGTCTGTAACCGCAGTTACACCCTCTTCTGAGCTCTGCAGGCATTGTACAACACAGGTGCACTTACACACATGGAGGCAATACACTCATACACATAAAATAAAAATATTTTTAAATAAATTAAAAATTGGGCTGGGCATGATGGTGCATGCCTTTAATGCCAGGCCTTGGGAGACAGGCTGGTGGATCTCCGTGACATTGAGGCCAACCTGGTCTACATAGCCAGTTCTGGGCCAGCTGAGACTACAAGGAGACCCTGACTCAAAGAAACAAATGAATAAATAATAAAAATAAAGCCCTTTTGGGGATGGAGGATTGGAATTAAACCCTGAGCCACTATTTCTTTACAGAGAGAAAACTAGAGAACAGCTGGCAGCCTTGAAAAAACACCATGAAGATGAGATTGAACTACATGAGGAGGAGATTAAGCGTCTGCAAAAACAAATTGAGCGACATAAGAAGAAGATCAAATATCTAAAAGATCAGGATTGAATGCACACAGTTCCCTACAGAATGGCCCGTATCTTTGCCCACTGCTATAGAGACATAGTTCTGATTAATATTTGGTCTGTGTGCTACTAACATAATAAATTATCAGTGAACTGCCTGGTGCCTTCTAACTGGAGGGTGGTAGAGGGTCAGACACTACTCATCCGTTAAGATGAATTGATCAAGACTATTGAAGAGAACTCACAAGCTATAAAAGGACAGAAAGGAGGGAGGGGGGTGGCACCCCAGTCTAGTCAGAGGTGGTCAGAGAAATCTTGAAATGTAAAGCCCAGTCTATCAGAAACATCCTGGAGAACAGACAGGGACGATTGCTTCCAAAGCTGCAATTTGAGGCACTGGCAATAATACTATTGCATTGTTTGAAGGATTTTGCATTGTTTGAAGGATTTTCATATGAACTAGCTGTTCTTGCTCTAGTTTTGCAGGTTGTGACAGTTGGAATTAGGAATCATGTACAGGGGCTTGGGCTGTAGCTCAGATGATAGAATACTTGTCTAGCATGCAGCAGGCCCTGGGTTTCATCCCCAGCACTACATAAACCAGATATGGTGGCATAGGCCTGTAGTCCTAGCACTTGGATGGAGACAAGAGGAGCAGGAGTTTGAGATTATCTCTTGCTGTACAGTAAGTTTGAGGCCACCCTGGGCTACATAAGACCCTCTCTCAAGAAAAGGAGTATATATACAGGTTAGGATGTAACTCAGTGGTAGAGCACTTGCCTAGCATCCATGAGGTTCTTGGTTTGATCCCCCAAATTGGGGGGAGAAAAGGTTGCCAGAAATGATACAATACTGCCTACAGATGTTCAGTATGCAAAAGTTGAGACTTGTGTCCAATTTTCTGGCCCCTGCCCCCCCCCTTTTTTTTTTTGCTTGGAATCAAGGAAACGGCTTCCCACAGGCAGATGCTCTATCCTTTTGCTATATGTCACTAGTCTCCTTTTTCAAATCTTTATGTAGTCCTGAAGATGGAACCCAACCCAGAGCTTTGTACAGTACATGTTCTACCACTAAACTATCTTTATTTCTCAAATTAGATTTCAAGACCAGACTTAGCTAACATACTAGCTGGGCAAAATACAGTTTAAGATGACATTTGGGCCATTAGAAAACATTTTTTTTTAAGTATTTTATGAGTATGAGTGTATTACCTGCATGTAAATGCACTGGTGTCCTACAATGTCCGAGGAGATCAGTAGAGGGTATCATCCCCTGGAACTGAAGTTAGAGAGGGTTGTTAGCTGCCATGTGGGTACTGAGACTTGAACCTTGGTCCTCTGCACGAGCAGCTGGTGCTCTTAACCACTGAGCCATCTCTCCAGCGCCTTATTTTTAATTATGTGTATGAATATATTGCCTGCATGTATGTACCTGCACCCATGTCATGCAATGCCCCCAGAGGTCAGAAGAAGGTGTAAGATCCCCTGGAACTGGAGTTAGAGACAGTTGTTAGCCGCCATGTGGGTGCTAGGATTTGAACTTCGGTTCTCTACAAGAGCAGCCAGTGCTTTTAACTGCTGAACCATCTCTCCAGCCCCTAAAAAACATTTTGAATCACCAGCTTAATATATCATTTTCCCAGAATCGTGATGATTCAAGACCCTATTTCACAAAGGCCTTTAGGGCCAGTGAGTGAAAAGTTTGGAGAAGTCATTGATAGCCTGTGCAAGAAAGAAACCAGATGGCAGTTTTCAAAAGTTGCCTATCCATGAACACTTCCAATTATGCTGCTGATGTGACTCAGTACTGAGTGATTCAAGTGGCCAGCCACAAAACGACCTAAGGATGCCAGCAGTAGAGCAACTGTTAGTATTGTTACATCCCTGAGTTCAAGCCCCCCACATACCTCAGAGCCAGGCATGGTGGTGCCTGCCTGTCATCACAGCATCTCAGGCTGGAGGATCACGAGTTCAAAGCCAGCCTGGGTAGGAGACACTAAAGGAAAAAAAAAAATACACATAAAAAATCGACTTCATGCTGGGCCTGGTGGCGCACACCTTTAGTCCTAGTACTCAGGAAGCAGAGGCAGGCAGAGCTCAGTGAGTTCAAGGCCAGCCTGATCTACATAGTGAGTTCCAAGCCAGTTTGGGGCTGCAGGGAGACCCTGTCTCAAAAAAAGACAAAAAAAAAAAAAAAATCCATGGAAACAATTGAGTCATGGCATTTTTATTACCACTTAATGCAATGAAAGTAAGTATTGAGTAATAGCACAAATACCCGTAAGTCCTAAAATAGATGACATGAAGCCTTAAACAGGATCGGCACAGTTCATAAGACTTACCTGGGACCCAGAAACACCCCCAAGTGGGACAGATTTAGAAAATCCTATAACAGCATTTTCACAAGCCAATAACATCAACATCACCTGGGAACTGATTAGATGCTAATTCTCAGGCCCCCACATGAACCTGCTTAAATGGGGGAGAAGGACCCATCAGTTTTTGGGGTTTTTTTTTTTTTTTGAGTTTTTAAAATCAGGGACTCATGTAACCCAGGCTAGCCTCAAACTAAATATGTAACTGAGGATGACCTTGAACTTCTGATCCTCCTGCCTCTACCTCTCAAGTGCTGAGATTATAAGTGTGTACCACAACACTTGGTTTTTTGGTTTGGAGGGGGGTTGTTTTTGTTTTGTTTTTTGTCTTTTTGAGATAGGGTCTCCTTGTAGCGCCAGCTGACCTGGAACTCACTATGTAGACCAGGCTGGCCTCGAACTCACAGAGATCCCTCTGCCTCTGCCTCCCAAGTGCTGGGACTAAAGGCATGCACCACCAAGCCCAGCTCACACTTGGTTTAGATAAGGTAATAGGGATTGATCCCCAGTGCTTGGTGCATGCTAGGCAAGTACTCTACAAACAGCTATATCCCTGTCCCTTGGGATTTTTGTTTTCTGGGTTTTTTTTTGTTTGTTTTTTTTCATTGCTGTTGTTTTTTGTCTTTTTGAGACAGGGTCTCCCTGTAGCCCCAGCTGGCCCGGAACTCACTATGTAGACCAGGCTGGCCTTGAACTCACAGAGATCCGCCTGCCTCTGCCTTCCAAGTGCTGGGATTAAAGGCGTGTACCACCACAACATTTTAAATTTATTTTTATTTTATGTGTATGAGTGTTATACCTGCATATATATAGGTGCACCCATCATGCAGTGCCCGCCCCTTAGAGGCCAGAAGAGGGCATCAGATCCCCTGGAACTGGAGTTATGGACAGTTGTTAGCCACCATGTATGTGCTGGGATTCAAACTCAAGTCTTCTGTAAGAGTAGCCATTGCTCTTAACTAACTTCTGAGCTATCTCTTCAGCACCTGTTTGTTTTTGAAAGCAGGGTCTCTATAGCTCAGGCTGATTTCGAATTTACTATGTAGCCCAAGCTGGCCTTGAATGTAGAAGTCCTTTAGCCTCGGCCTCCCAAGCACTGAAATCATAGGTATGAGCCTTTGGTTCTTATTTTGAGACAGAGTCTCTCTATGTAGCCCAGGCTGATCTGGAACTTGCTATGTAATCCATGCTGGCCTGGAACTCACTGTGTTGCCCAGGCTGGCCTGGAACTCCTCATATTCCTGCCATACCCTCCTGAGTACTGGGATTACAGGCATAGACCACCACATCTACATCTTGGCCCATAATAACATTTCAGAACATAAAATTCCACAGAATTCATTTTGGGAACTGCTACACTGGTTACTTCATTACTTGCAATCTTTTTTGTTTACATGAAACAAAAGCCAGTATTGACTGGGTTCCGGGAAAGAAAAATTAATTTTTTAGAAGAATGGGGCCATTGTTTCATGGAATCTCAAGACTTGAGCAAACCAGACTAAGAACAGGCAAAGACCAGAGTAGCTCTGAATGGCAGGAATAGATCTAGTGAAGCAACTTCCACACAGCCGTATTATTGGAAGCTCAGGTTTTGTGTTTTGTTTTATTATTTTTATTTTGTGTATATGAGTGTATTGTCTGCATGTATGTAAGTCTACATGTATGTAAGTGGACTCAGGTTGTGTAATGCCTGTGGAGGTCAGAAGAGAGTGTCAGATTCCCTGGAGCTGGAGTTATGGACGGTTCTTAGCTGCCATGTGGGTGCTGGGAACCGAACCCAGGTCCTCTGCAAGAGCAGCCAGTGCTCTTAACCATTGAACCATCTCTCCAGCCTCTGTTTTGTTTTTTAAACAAAAGTGCTTTGAATTTTTTTCTTTCAGAACTTCCTTTATCACGTTTTATATATCTCAGGTACGTGTGTGCAGTTATACATGTGCCACGTTGTACATGTGGAAATCGGAGGACAACTTTTGGGAATTGGTTCTCTCCTTTCACCATGTGGATCCAAGGGATGAAACTTAGGTCGTCAGCCTTTGCAGTTGGCACCTTTACCCACTAAGCCATTATGATGATTCTATGATTTTGTTTCTTTTCGTTTTAACATTTATTTTGTGGGTGTGGTTGTGTATGCCACAGAGGTCAGAGGAGAACTGTGGGAGTAAGTTCTCCCCTTCTACCATGTGAGTTCAAGGGATCAAACTCAGGCTGTCGAGCTTGGTGGCAGGCAGCTTTACTCCATCTCACTATCCCACCCCTTTTTTAAATAGTCCCATGGAATTTTACAAAATGAATTATTTACAACTTGCACAAAAACTTGTATGCACAGAACATATTACAATTATTTGCTCATTAGATCTCAAGATATTTTTGGAAAATAGGTTCATTTCATTAATTTAATTAATTATACATACATTTTTGTTTTAATCGATGGTGCTAGGAATCAAACATAGAGCCTCACACATACTAAGCATGCCCTCTAGCATTGAGCTACACCACAGCCTTCCTTTGATTTTACAGCCTAAGTAACTGGAACAGAATTGTGAAGTAACTTCCAACAGGTCTCATGATCAGGTTTGTGTTGAATAGCAAGCCATTACTTCAGAACTTGCTCTCAAAGCCCTTAATTACAGTTCCAGGGTGATGGTATCCATGCCCATTAGCTCTGTCTTCCATGTAGGTCAGGTGTGTGGGGAGAGGGGGATTCAGGGACATCTCAGACATATCAGGTAGAAAGCAGAAACACCCAGGGCAGTAAATGTAGACGTGTTCATGGTTGGTGCTGG